GCTGGCCAGTGACTGTGATCTTTCCCTGAGGTCCCTTCCAATCCCAGGGCTCTGAGGGAGGGATGGAAAAACAGCATAAAAAGCATTGTTTGAATTGTTTGAACTGAGCTTTCTCTGTGCCTTCATACTTACAAGTGACACAAGTTTTGCTCTGAACAGTTTGAGGTACAGTTTCCCAGAAACCCCTACACCTATCTCCTTGAAACTTGGCAGGCTTCATGGCCTTAGCAGGGGCTAGCACCCCTGCAGTTTTCTGGGCCTTACCACACGCAGTCACACGTCACGAGTTTTGCCAGTCAGCAGCCTGAGGTGCAGTTTCCCAGAAATCCCCACACCCATCTCCTTGAAAGCTGGCAGACTTCATGGCCTCAGCAGGGGCTCCCATGCCTGCAGTTTTCACCCTGATGCACCCTAACACACACATGTGACACAAGTTTTGCTTTCAAGGTTTTGAGATGCCGTTTCCCAGAAACCCCAAAACCTATCTCCTGTAAACTTGGCAGGCTTTATGGCTTCATAAGGGGCTACCATTTCTGCAAGTTTAATCTGAATAAGGCAGGAAATTACAAAATTATAGGCAGTTTTTGTGCTTCCCCATTATAGCCTACGGGCAAAACAGCAAAACAGCATCGAAACAGTTTCAACGAAATGAAATGGAACAGTGGGTTCGAAATTAAATGAAACTCAAAACGAAACGCTGTCCCAGCGAAATGGTGAAATGGAAGTTGAAACGAAAGGATGCTTTTTCGCACGGCCCTGTGCAGTTGCGTCTCAGCATGGTTTTTGCTATACAATGCTATTGCACAGTAGTATTGGGCGACTGTGCAGTCAGCGTCTCATGCAGATGCACCCTTTGGGAGGGGGTATCTGGAGTACACACACATACTCAGCAGTGCTGGGCTGTGCAGTCACCATGACATAAAATGCTGTTGACTCTGCTGGAACCCAGCACAATGATCTATCCGAAAGGTCATGAGCCAGTTCTGAACTGATGTCATGCACAGTTTGTACCCTGCTTTTTGGCTCAGATCAAGTCCTTTTCTCTGAGATCAAGTGTAGTCCCAGTTGGCTCACAGGGGGTTGCATGTAGGATCTCACCTTCTTGTGAGCCAGGATCACCCTTAAATGGTGTTGTGTAGTTAAGGGTGGAGACTTGTCCAATGCATTGTGAGTAGGCCACCCTATGAAAGTCTCCTATAGCCTCCCAATGAAAGGATCTCAGCAACATGCTTTATTTTTACGGAAATTAATGCTTTTCAGTACTGACAAGGTGGTCCTTTGTTCATATTTCCACCTGGGTCTATCCTCCTCCTCTGACCAAAACTTGAATCGATATCTTCTCTTTCCTCTGTTTTTTTTTACCCTTTTCCTTTATTTAATCAATGAAAGAGAACAAAACAATCTGACAGTTCAGACCTGAGCTTTCTCCTTTGGCCTTTTGGCTAGCAAGTGAGACTCCGGGACATCTGAACTCCAAGGACTCTGGGCTTGGGGGTCTGCATGTAGGATGCCTGCCATGGATTTAGGAGTATTTGAGGCCCTGGGCGGAAGAGTCTGGGAGGGAAGATGCTTGCCAGTGGTAGTGCCAGACAGACTTAAATGACTGAGTTCTGCTTAGTTGATGGAACTCAAAACTGAGTTAGCTAATTTGGCCTGAGACACGACATTTAAAAAATTAAGAAAGCAGTTTGTATTATACATAAGTAGGTACAAAACTGGTGCTCAAAAGTGTGTTTATGGACTATGTGTGATCAAATTTGCAGCAGTCGGGGTTGGGGCCAGAATTAGCCCCACAGCAATCTCCTGTCCCCCTCTGTAGCTTCTGCTCTCCTCTGTCCCTTTACTTCCCTTTATTGTCAAATGCAGCTTGTTTCCACATTGTGCTTGGGGATGGAACAGAGCCTTGATTAGGGTCTGACAGTAGGAGGAGATGCAGGGGAGACAGAAAGGCAGCAGGGGCAAGAAGCTGGCAGAGCAGAGAGCTAGGGGGCCACTTGCCCCTCCCCCCCCACCCCCCAGCCACTATTGCTGTACATAACACTCTGATAATTACATTCTACACCTTGAAAATCATTTTAAAAACATACATTTTACATATATAGAATCTTATGGGGGGTCATCTTATATTTGGGGCCATCCTGTATTTGAGTAAATTCGGTACTACCATGCAGCAGAGTTCAACATCCTACAGATAATTATAGCAGCATCCTTCATAGGCTTCACATGACATGGCAGAGACTCCTGTCTTCTCATAGATGACCAGCATACTGATTATAAACACTTAGAGCTTCCCAAGCTCAAGAGATGTTCTGACTCTGAGTAGATCTTATGAATTCTGTCCCTAAAAAGAGCCCAGTTATCCTCTTGACTCTGATATCTCATCTCTGTTTGCTTCTGTCCTGGGTCTTGCTAGTTACCTTTCATTTCAGACCAAGCGTCTCTCAATAGTTCTCTGCCTTTCTTCATTGACAGCACAGGATTCTTGAGCCCTGTCTCTAACAGAAAGGTACTGTTCCATGGGGAGATCTTAGCAGTCTGAATATCCCTAAGAAGAATGCTTTCCAGTACTGACAATGTGGTTTGTTTATGTTTCTCCCCTGGGTCTATCCTCCTCCTCTGATCAAAAACTCGATTTTCTATTGTCTCTTTCCTCTGTTTTTTTACCCCTTTCCTTTGTTTAATCAATGAAAGAGAACAAAGTAATCTGACAGTTCAGACCTTAGCAAACTGGCACTTACAACTTTAACAGTGTCACTTTTTGTCAATGATCTTGTCAACCTCCCCAAGATTAATAAGGAAAAGACATTTACAAGTCAGTTTGTTCACAGCAGAAAAGAGCCTGATACAAAGGACGCTAATTGTAGCATGATTTTTTTTCCCACAGCTGCATTGATCCCAACAGCTGTAGATACTTAAAGTCTTTTCCTACAGCGTTTGCACCCTTCATTATGCAAATGAAGAAAAGGGGATGGCGGGAAACAAATACAATCAGACAGTATTTCAGAGACCACAGGAGGTGATGGTGGGGATTTGTCTTCTGTTCAATACCTGCTTCCTTTCTGATCATGACAGAAGCCATTGTTTCATCCTACATTTTTCAGCATAAAGATAAGGAGAATATACCTTTTCCTTCAACAAATACCAAAAAGAAAGTGAGAAAAAACAACAAACAGTATGAGTACTTTGCAGTCTGAAGGCTTTTCGAATGGGTTGTAATTAGCTATGTCTGCTTGGGTATGAGAGTGCATTGGTGGCACCTGTGCCTGTCGGGTGTTTGGCACCAGCAGCCAAATGGTAACACTAGTGTGTAATTACAGAGCACTTAGCGTGCATTCAGCCCTGGTGTGTTTCTCTGCTAATTTTCACTTCCATTATATGAGAGCCTACGGACATTGCAGAAGCAGTGGTTCAAGTACCTGCAGCTGCTGAGATAAATTCATGTTGTGGCTATATATAAATATATATATAGATGTGCATGCACGCACGTGCACATACATGCACAGAGTATCCAGTGAGAAAGTTACTTAAGAAGAAAGTTAAACTAAATGGAGCTAAAACTTATTTCTTTCTGTGCCTCTTATTGCACAATTATTTCTTAAAAGTTCCCATCACATAGGCATCCTTTAGAGAGACACTTTGTTATATCATGATGTTATTCATTTGCCTTCAGCAGTTCTCCAGCAGTCAATGGTGGGTCCCCTGTTCTTTCATGTACACATCTCTCCATTTGTGTTCCAACAGGTCTGGGTGGATGGGGCATCTATCTTACTCTTCTGCTACTGCTATTTTCCAGTTACTGTCTGATCTGTGATGTTCAAGACAATTCTGCATTTTAAACATGGGTTAAATGTAAACTAGATAAGAACAGCAGCTTTCTGATACATAGGAGACCAGCGCAGGCTCCTCACTAGAAGATGACTCATTTTAAAAAGTCCTTACTCAAGTCAGGTCATACCTTACTCAGATGAAACTCACAGATATAGATAACAATGGCCTTTTTTTCACCTCATGGTGAAAGATTCAAAATAAAGAAGGAAAGACAAATGAACAGGGACATTTCCAGCCATTGCAGTGCTCATTGCCAATTGTGGCAGGGGTGATATGAGAATGAGATGGAATGAGGCGCTGGCTGGATTTTTGCTGTTGAATATATTTAGCATACATTTGGAAAAAGTTGCATAGTTAATTACTATTATTTATTCATTTCACGACTTCATTCATTTCACGACTGAATAGGGGAACAGACTGGTGCTCTGGGCGGTTTTTGAGCTCTGTTTGAAAAAAACAAAAACAGTAACACCCTGCTAAAAAGTGCAAAAATAAACCCAACATGAAGCAGAAATAATTTCATTCCTCACGGAAGACAGTATCTGAGAAATACCCATGCTGAAAACACTGGGCCTGCCAGACTGGAATGAACCTATGGTCCAGAGTGGGAGGGATAAGAGCTCCATAGTAGGCAGATGTGCTCCTCCCATTATGCCTCATCCTGTCCTCTATAGGGAGAGATCAGTTTAAACTCTACAGCATGAGGTTCCAGAACTTATTCCTGATGGCTGGATGGTCTTGTGATTCATCTGTGCCCAATTCCACCTTGCCTATTCCTTAATTCTGGGCTATGTGTATACATTTTAAATGATACTGTAATTAGTACAAAAAATAAGAGATGGACATACTCAAAAAGTACCTAGACTGCAAACTCTTTGAGGCACAGACTGACTTTTTGTTGAGGCAGAACCTTTTGTTCTGTGTATGGGTAGTGCCTGATCACTGATCCTTGCTTGAACTGGCTAAACTGTAATGTATTAAACACTATCTCAAATAGCAATAATAAGAAGCATGTAGCACAGTAGACCCTAATCCCTGACTTGGCTCATAGGTGCTACAACAATATAAATAATAGTAAATATAAGCCCTGTATGATAATAGAGTCCAAAAGGAATCCTTGAGTGAAAGAGAAAGGAATGCATCAGAGTAAGCTAAGAATTGTGACACTCATATCTTGTTTTCAAAGTATTCCATTTTAATCCTCGCAATCACAATACAAAATGGATGAGAACAATGCAGGGTGGTGTTTTGAGAGTATCTTCTCTGAAGCCACACATTAGACTAAGAATGAACCCTGTGATTCAGAGAGAGCCATCTGGGGCACAAATAATAAACAAATTTCAAACACTGAGGCATGAACAAAATTTGGAAGACATTCCTGCACAAACCCTGGTCAAGACTGCATGCTGCAAAAGATGGCACTTGGGCAAAGTTTAAAAAAAAGGACCCAAAATAAACAGAAAGTAGCTGCAACATGTCCATTATCTGCTGTCATAAAACAGCAGTGATGCTTGTTCTTTTAAAAGGGCTCCTTTCATTCTCATCACATTCATCACTAGGTGACTGCAGCATCACTGAGTGAATCAAGTATGAGGTTGGTTTTTATAAAGGACAAAGTAACAGAGATTTTGATAATTAATGATGAAAATGGGAAATATATAAAGATGACAATGACATAGCTCAATGGGAGGGCAATACCAGATTCTAGCACTAATGCCTCAGTATGGCATTATCAAAGGATAACAGTACAAATACTTAGAGACGGAGCTGGAATGGTTATATAAAGATGGAACTGCCACCCTAAAGGATCACATGCTTTGCCTTGCACCTCCTCTACCACAGTGGGAGCTGGATTTACCAGGTATGAATATCAACTGCAAAAGGGAGAGGGGAGGAAGGAAACTATTTTTCAACATCATCTGGAGGAGGAAGGTTGATTTCAAAGCACCTGCTGTGTCTCCGCTGTAAGTTACAATGAGATAAATGTCAGAGCCAATGAAATAAATGGAAATAACCAAATTTGGACTGGATAGATTATTTTAGCCGCCAAAGTTGGAACCTCCTTTTCTCTTGGTGCGAGAGCAGCTATATTTCATGCTGGTGGCTTCTCTCTTATGCTGGGTTTCTGCTACTAAACTGTCTGTAGTGGAAGAGACTCTTACAGTCCACTTTCCCAGAGTATTTGATGGCTTCAGCAAAAAGTTTTGTCACCTGAAAATATAAAGCAAAAAAGACTGAGTATCTTGAAGCCATTTCTGGGAGACTTATTTATAAAGCAAGCTCACTGCTTGAGCACCAAGATCTGCCATGCATGGTTAGCTTTAAGGGTGATTTCTGATTTCAGGATGGCTGTGTGAGCTAAGGTTTTACTTATATGAAGCAGCTTGCAAGACTGGCAGCCTCTGAAAACTTGGTAATCTTTTTGGAAAAAGGTTCTGTATAGTGTAAGATATGTTACCCCACACTTCATAGAGTAAGAGTTAAACTAATTTTGTTGGCAGGTGAGTTAGTGAGTCTTGAATTGGAATCCCCTTTCTCATGGGCAAGGCATATTTTTCAGATGGGTGTCAGAGCACTCTGCTATTTCCCATTCAAACTAAACACTCTTGGCATTGCTGCCTCTCTAAGCTTATAACTTGGCACTGAACTTGTTTTGCATTTGTTCTAAACACAGCTAAAGGATTTGCACTTCAACCTCTGGCATCAGTTTAGGCTGGTGGGGTCTGAGCCCACTCCCAGGGAAATGAAGGGGAATTTGGCAACGGACTTCAGTAAAAGCAGGAAGCAGAATTTTGTGACTGTAACAGAGCTGGAAAGAAATATTGTGTTTCGCTGTCAATCACAGTCCAGCTGTCCTGTGGCAGAAAATGAGTTAGAACTCATGGAAGGCAAATGCCCCTACCTGTGTTGATATCCGAAATGTAGATTATGAAGAACACTAGATAGATAAAGAATGAAAATCTATGCTATCAATTAGGAAGCTGTCCTCACAGGGCACGTCTACATGAGCAATTAATGCAAAGCAATAAACTCCAGAGCTAATTGCTTTAGAGTTTATTGCTCCCAGGTGAGCCATCTGAACATGTGCCAGGGACTGCAGTACATTGAACCAGGTCAGAGTAGTCCCAGCTGGCACAGGGCCCCGGGAGTTACCCTGCCAGCCTGGCACTGCTTCCCCCTACTCAGCATGCTGTTGAGATGCTGTCTAGGGAATGGGGGTGTTCCAGTGTGGGGCCAGCCAGCAGGCAGCCCCCATACTGAAGCATCCTTATGCCCCAGCCAGCCAGGGCAACATCTACATGGGTGCTGCTGCAGAGTAAAAAACTCTGCAGCAGGTTAGTACTTGTATTTACTTTTTTTTTTTAACTTATAAATACAAGTACTAGCCTGCTGTGGAGTTAATTAGTGCACTCCAACCTAATACAGGCACATGTGCATTTGTGCGATACTTACTGCAGAGCTAATTAGTCTACACCGCAGTAAACGTCTTGTATAGCCTTGCCCACAGAGTAGTAATTCACTTGGATGACACATTGGAATAGTAAGAAATTTGCTTTGAGTTTCTCAGTAAAGGTGTCATGCCTTGTTCAAAATTTAGACAGCTATATTTAAGAGCTTTGTGATAGAAAGCTGTTGCCAAGGATATTTTTTTGATGTTATAATGAACGAATGGTGGAGAATTTGCTCAAAGGCAGGGACTGAGATATGAATAGCCCAAGGCCATAGCATGGGACACAATGTTTCTGCAGGACAGTGGAAAGGAAATGTATTCAAGCTACCAAGTTATTGCTATTTCAGGTGTATTATTATTTGCGAAACATAACAGGGATCCAGAAATATTGGATTCTAAGTACAAAATTGCCCAAAAGATTTCTATACTATTATGATTAAGGGAAGAAAAAGTGGCAAAAGAGATACCTGGAAATTAGTAAGGAGAGCAATCCCACTGTCAACAGCCATCCTGCGGATCATGTAATTATCATGGATGAACTTGGTGTTGTTATTGGGAAGATTAATCACCAAATCTATGTTCCCATCTTTTATCAGCCTGAAAAGACAATGCAGAAGACACAGTGGTATACTTTGTTTAGTAAAATCTTCAAAGAATGCATGTTTTCAACTGACCAGTGGAGGCCTAGGATGGTACAAGTGCTAAGGTGCACAGTTGACAGCCTAGAGGTGGCAAGTCTGAGGCCATATCAGAAGTGCTTCCCAGCATGGTCCTGTCAGATTCCAACGAATCTGCAAATTCTGCTAAATACCTTGTCACAAGGACACAAAAAAGGAAGGGACCGACCATTGTTTGCTGTTTTAGTTAACATAAATTGTATAGTTTTAGTGTGTTTTATATATTAAAGGATGATCAAGTACAGCAGTTCCCACATTTCTTAGGGGACCCCCACTTCCAGCCTTATGCTGCTGGTTCTGAGCTGCTATCAACCCCACTTCTTAAACTGAATTTCTGTGATCTTCTGATCCCATTCATAAATGCTGTGATCTCACCAGGGGTTCTGACCCCTATGCTGGGAACCACTGATCTAGTAGCTAATACCAGACTGGGATTTAGGACTGGATTCTAGCTTCAGTCCCTGTATCTGCCCCACACTTCCCTGAGTGACCTTAACATAGGGCAAAATTCAGCCTTCATGCAACTAAGCACAACTTTGTTAAGGGCATGATTCTGAGAAGTGCTAAGCATCTGCAGTTCCCATTAAAGCTGGGAAGAGATGCGTGGTACTTTTGAAGATTCAGATTCCAAAATGTCCAGACTTAAAAATATGATGTTCAGTGCTGCGTGCAATAGAATTTAATTACATATTGATGCCTAAGAGATAAATGAGCTTCAGTTATCTGCAAGATGCTTTGGAAAGAGATGATGTGAAATATTCCAGTGCTATAATAAATAGGCATTATTAATGAGATGCTTTTTTGATTCAACAGAAGAAAATTTTCCCATCGTGGCAATTACAGGCAGAGTAGAATACATCTGTCAACAAAACAAAAGTGGCTCAAAGCCTCTGGAAGTGAATGAGGGCTTGGCCACTGGTCCAGTGAGGCCCAGATTTCACCTCCAGATTTTACTGTCATGGATGTTGCCAAAGACTCCCAGGATCTCTACAAACTGTGCTGTGCTCTTACCTCCTGATCTGGGGGATGCTGGAGTTTTGGCTTTCCTGGGATGGCCATGCCACAGGAGTTGCAGGTACACTGTTGGCATTAAGCCAGTCGGAAGTTGCTTCAGTGGCATAAAGCTGTGTCAAGAGGAAATGTTACTACATTATATTGCAATGAAGCTTCACATTTAACCCTGTCTTGTACAGTTGAGGCTCAATCCCATATTCAATGAAACCAACAGCAAGATTTCCATTGACATCAGTGGGCATTAGATTGAGTCCCATAACTATACATGTATATGTGAATACAGACCACACACAGAAGCATAATTTTCCCATTTTCTGTATTATCAGCGATCTTATTAGACATGAGAATAAACAGTGAGTGACATTTCCAAGAGCAGTTAAGTGGTTTAGGATTCTAAATCCCATTGACTTTCAACCGGATTTAGGCTAAGTCACCTAGACATTTCTGAAAATTTCACCCACCATTTCATTCCTATTGTGAATGGTGCCATATGTAAGACTGGATCAATACATCCTGTTTTCACGTATGCTCTTCAGCTGCCTGCCGGTGCTATGTGAAGAATTTTTATTAAAAATGATCTTTCTAATGCTCTATGGTCACAGTGCTAAATATGGTAATGACAAAAACAGGCTTTGCATGAGACAAAAGCATTCCTAGTTAAAGCGAACTGCTTAACAGTGCAAATTATGTACACTCTTAGCTTCTTTGTAAAATATGATGAGGTCCCATAAAAATTTGTTCCCCATAAAAAGGTTTTTCCTCTGCTTCCCCTTTTGCATTAAAATATTACTGACTGACTTTCTTTTTCATGGGGAATTTTGAGGGACCTGGCATATGACACAGTAGCTACAGTTCTTCCAGCCTTGACAGGAAACACCCTTGCCTTGTGAATTAATCCTGTTTGTGTGGTTTAATAATTATGCAGACATTTAGTTAGGTAACTCCCATAGAATTTAATGAGAATCACTCAAGTACAAATCCTTACTAGCCTTTGAAAATGTGGGTGTATCTCCTTCTCTTATTTTCCCTTGATTATCAACTCAACCCTGAGGTTCTCAAGGTCAATGCAGCCATATTTTAAGTAAAAAATAAGTACCTGCAAGCTTTAAAACCTCAAACAACATACCTTGAAACCTTCCTCATGCAGCTGTTCTGCTACACACAGGAATTTGGGACGGAAGGAATGCTGAAAAAGAAACGAAACTTGAGATAGCATCAAAGCTAGGATCTAGAAAAGAACACCTGCCCACTTGATGGATACCCTGGGGTTTCTTCAGAATCCATTAAGAGGCAAATACACACACACACACACACACCAGCCCGTGTGTGTGTGTGTGTGTGTAGTATATGTGTGTGTGAACATTTACACATGCTCATAAATGCACAGGAGCTTATTCTACTGTGCGTTAAAATGTTGGGTAAAAAAAAGTGCTATGTAGTAGAATAGGCTACTGTGCATTAAATGTCACTTAAAAATGTGCACTTGCACTACTGAGCATTAGCACAGCCTAATGCGCATTTATTTATTTAGTACCTCATATTGTAGGTATTAAACTTAATGCACATTAGGAAAAGCACATTAATGCACATGTAAATGTGCTCTGTGTGTGCGCACGCATGCATGTGCACCTACCCAAGTCATTCAATTGCCTCTCTCATATAGAATGACAAAGAAATCACTTCAGAAACATGAAAATGGGTAATATGGTGATATTCTGAGCAAGACCAAAGCCCACATCCCACTGAGAGCCAAAATACCTTACTATTACCAGCACAATACATGCCCCGAGTGTGTCTTATTGCACTTATGAAATGTCTCTGCAGATTAAATGTCATGGAAACTGGCCTTTCAAATGTATTTTATAAGCCTCCCATGGTTTTTAATGCTCCTTTTAAGGCTGCTCTAACAATTTGTTTCAAGGCCAGAGAAAGTAATGCCTGGGCTAGATTTTGAGGAAATACCCAAGGCAACTTCAAAAAGTGAAACACGGGGCTACCCCTAGGTGCTATTTTCTCAAGTAAACATGGCAAAGTCTGTGTGCCTGAGGATGCTTCGCACATATGCAAAACAGAATTGCCTGAGGGATATGGACTCCCATTATAGTAAAGTTAGGTGCCCAAATATTCCATGCAGCTTTAAAAGTCTCTCTCCTAATGCACAATCAATGCCAGGAACCATTCAGAAAAAATAACGATGCCACCTCCTCTTTTATACGATTTGTATTTGCACCATGCATTTTGGAGTGATGTGGAAATAACGTCCTGATCATGACTCATGCAGTCCCCAGTATTTTGGAGGTTTAACAGTACAAAGCTCAAAGGCAACATAAGACTTTCTCATTGCAAAGCCATGCTGAACCTCCAAGATTGACCAGTACGGAAGCAGGATTATGCAAACTCCTTTTCTGATCCTCTAACCTTGGCAGAGGTTATGCTGAAAGCATAGACAGTATTTTCTCTGACAGGGAGAAGGAGGCAACACATCCTTTGAGCTCTACAAACCCTGGCAAGAACCTCATACTGAAGCCATTTTTGTTCTGTACACTAACTGGAAAATATAAATATACAATGTGACAGGACTGGCAGCTTCCCAGTCAGAGGACTGCTCTTCCTCCTGGTCTGAGGTGTTGGCTTGCACAACAGAATTATAAACTTCTATCAAACATGCATTGAACACTTGTGACACATAAAACAGCCTTCCCGTGAAAAGAAATTACAGCTGTCAGCTTGCATCTGAGAAGCCTCAGATTTAAAAGCGATTGAAAGTACCTGTGTAAGAAACCATTACTTACTAAAGGTGAAAAGTACAAACAGATTTATTTACTGGAAGAATCTACTGGCGGGAAGGTCTTTTTTTTCTTTTTTTTTCTTTAGTTTCAAAGGCAAAGTTCTGTTCCCAATAACACCCTCCTCATTTTTGCTAGAATATCTTGCTATTGGCAAAGGGCCTGATCCTTACTGATTTCAGTGGGGCTGTACTCATTTATGCCAGGCTCCGGTTCAAAATCAAACTAAACTATCTCGACACCGATGCTCTGATTCTGGGTTTCAGATTTAGGTCCAGCATAGCATCAGACAGCTCTTTTTCTCCCTATGATCCTTTCCCTAGGACCTTCTGAGCTAAATTAACCACCTACTACTTTTGCACTGCAATGGCAAGGCATTGGTAATGTCCTCCTCTCCCCTGCTTTTACCTACGGCATGCTATAAGGTGTTCTTGCTTGCTCAGGATAAGCTGTGGGTGATGGTTTACAATGGTGATTTTGGGGATTGCTTCAATTAATGATTGCCTGTGAACACAGGGCACCAGACTCAATGGCCCAGGAGACCGTTTCAGTCCTAAGTTCCTGGAACAGTAGTTATGATATAAAGTCCCCCTGAAACAACAGCCTTAGAGAGCTGGGATTTAAAAATAAAACACTTCATTAATGCTCTCAGCATTTCAGGGTATTCAACACAGATTTAAGACAGATGCATTCCTTCTTACAGATATTACTGAATAGCATAATCAGGAGAGAAAATGCAATGAGCTGGTTAACTACTCTTGTCTAAATTATAAATTAGTTAATGGCAAATGGAGGATTCTAGCTAATTCCTATTTCCTTGGCATTAGAAGTTTCCACATTATTTAAAAAGAATGGCAGATTTTCAGATGGTGTTAAATTGGCACAGATCTATACTACTTCTGTGGAGCTACAAAAATTTATACCAGATAAAAGATCTGACCTGTAAAGTTCAGGTAAAGATCAGGTTACACTACATTCTATGGCACTAACATCGATGAGAAACTAACAGTGATCTGGATTACACCACAAGCTGCATTGTGCCACAATAAAAAGAAATGTCTTTCTTAAGGTGGCCAACCATCAGCAGCATTTAGAAATGGCCCTTTTTTCAGGGCGTCTCCAAAAGAGATACCAAAACTAGAGTGGCATCCTAAGATAAAGTGATGAAAATCTCCCGTTTTATTCATTAGGATGCTTTGGTTCTCTGTGGAACATTAATCAAAATCTTAGCAGCAGGCTTCTGAAATTTCTGTAGCAAGGAAATATTCTTAAATATGCCAAAATTATTCAGTTTTGAGGAAAAAGAAATCCTCATTATTTTATTTTTTTATTTTGTTTCACCAGCTTCTGAGAATAGCATTCTCTTCAGCTCTGGATAGCTAACACAGAGCCACATTACAAAGAAGTAACAGCATTACAACATGTTAAGCATAGGTCCTTTGGCTTTATTCGAGGAAACTAATTTTGCCACTGTCTTGACTTGTAATTCCATTTTCCATAGTATGTAGAACCTAAGGGTAAAAACAGACCTTGGATTTCTCTCAGGTCAAAGCCTTTTATCTTGGGATCCTACAGACTTCCAAACTCATTGTCCCACTTTAAATACCTGTGAAGTATCTGAGATAACACCTTTTCCCTGGACAATCCCAGCTAATTCAAAGCAATTGCCACTCAAGCTGTGTATGTACATGATTGTCCCGCACCTGTTTTGATGAATTTAAAGTCCTGGACAATCAAATCAAAATGAACCAGACCTCTGTTTTCACCCTATAAGTACAGTGCTGGGAAGCAGGTGACACAATCCCCAAGTCCCAAGCAGTAAACTGTCCAAAGGTAAATGCTTATATATGCAACTATTCAGGCCTAAAATCCACTCTCATTTACTTGCATACTACTGTAATGAACAGGTATGACTATGTCATAACAGTTAACAGAAATTATCCTATATTTCGTGTGCCAGGGCCTGGCCTTTAGAAATAAAAAGAATCTACTCTGCTGTGAAGTTTTGTCTGATCCTGGAGTATAACACACTGAAGCCTTTCATGGATCTATTCATTTTGTATCTAAACCTGCAATTCCCATTTCAGGATACCATAATCTTTGAAAATTCATAACTATCAGGAGAGGTCCTGAATGATTAGAGAAGGACACATATACTGTCCATATTTAATAAAGGGGAAAAGGAGGATCCAGGGAACTACAGATCAGTCAGCTTCACCTCAGTCCCTGGAAAAATCATGGAGAAGATCCTCAAGGAATCCACATCTATGGACTTGGAGAAGAAGGTGATTAGGAACAGTCAGTACAGATTCACCAAGGACAAGTCATGCCTGACCAACCTGATTGCCTTTTATGATGAGATGACTGACTCTGTGGACACAGGGAACCAGTGGATGTGGTGTACCTTGATTTTAGCAAGGTTTTGATACTGTCTTGCACAACATTCTTGCAGGCAAGCTAAAGAAGTAGGGGCTGGATGAATGGACTGTAAAATGGACAGAAAACTGGCTGGAGTATTGGTCTCAGAGAGTAGTAATCAATGTCTAGCTGGCAGCCGATATCAAGTGGAGTGCCCAAGGGCCAGTTTTATTCAAGACCTTCACCAACAACCTGGAAAATGGCACAGAGTGCACCCTCAGCAAGTTTGCAGATGACACCAAACTGGGGGGAAGTAGTAGATATGCTGGAGGGTAGGGCTAGGATTAAGAGTGACCTAGACAAATTGGAGGACTGGGCCAAAAGAAATCTCATGAAGTTCAACGAGAACAAGTGCAAAGTCCTGCAGTTAGGACGGAACAATCCCATGCACCAGTACAGGCTGGGAGCTGACTGCCTGGGCAGCAGCTCTGCAGAAAAGGACCTAGGGGTTACTGTTAGGGTGACACTATTTGGATCTTGGGGAGCACTGGGTTTGCAGCTGAATAAAGGCTTTAGCCTGTGGCCAGCAAAGCTGCTAACCACAAGGCGGAATGAGATATTAAAAGTAACATTGCAAGACGCTTAGACAAGCATTTTCCTAACTATGTGGTAGTGTGTAGGGTATATGATTCACTGTGTAAAACGGAACAAGATGCAGCCCACTGGCGATCGTCAGGAGATAAAGCAGAAGCAACACTTTGGAGATGAAGAAGGAGTCAGCAAAAAATGGCAGTTGACTGAAAGAAGCCGGGTTCACGGTTTTACACATGTTCATAGCAAAAAGACATGCAAATGAATGAAATGCATAGGTAATTCCACGCTAATGAAACAAACAGTAAACAGAGGCAGAGTTTGAGATAGGAGGGAATATGGGTGGAACAAAGGAGGGACCAAGGTGGAGTAAATGTTAATGAGCATGAACCAAGGTGCATAAATGTGAAAAGAACTAATGTTCACTGCTGCTCCCCGGTTTTTCTTTTTTTTGGGAACTTGCCCAAAGCTGTCTCCATTCTGAATAAAGGTGTTGTGAGCTATGTGTGCCAGTGTTTGCTCCCTGCTTTCTGAGCAACTGGATCCATGGGCAATTGGATCGTCATCTCCCTAGTCATTAGGCACCACATGGAGTTGGGGTCTAACAGTTATAGTGGACAATAAACTGAATATGAGCCAACATTGTGCCCTTGTTAAAAAAAGGCTAATGACATACTGGGCTGCACTGATAACTGTGTTGCCAGCAAGTCAAGGGAAGTGATTATTCCTCTCTATTCAGCACTGGTGAGGCCACATCTGGAGTACCATGTTCAGTTTTGCATCCTACCACCCCCCACTGGGGAAAGGATGTGGACAAATTGAGGGAGTCCAGCAGATGGCAACAGAAATGGTGAGGGAGCTGGGGCACATGACTTATGAGGAGAGGCTGAGTGAACTGGGTTTATTTAGTTTGGAGAAGAGAAGACTAAAAGGGGATTTAACAGCAGCCTTCAACTACCTGAAGGGAGGTTTGAAAGAGGATGGAGCTAAACTGTTCTCACTAGTGGCAGATTCATAGATTGTAAAGGGCTGGAAGGGACCTTGCAAGATCATTGGGTCCAGCCCCCCTGCACTATGACAGAACAAGGAGCAATGGTCTCAAGTTGGAGCAAGGAAAGTTTAGGTTAGATATTAGGAAGAATTATCTCACTGGGAGGGTAGTAAAACACCAGAACAAGTTACCCAGAGAGGTTGTGGAATCTCTGTCCTTGGAGGTTTTCAAGATCTGTCTAGACAAAGCTTTGGCTGGGATGATCTAGTTGGCTCTGAGCAAGGGGTTGGTCTCCAGAGGTCCCTTCCAACCCTAATTTTATATGATTCTATATTTCACTGCCTTGTCAGTTTGAGTGACATGTTCTAATGTATATGAATGAAACGAGAGCATTTTTGCTATAAAATACCAGGTACCTCTGGTCTCATACAGCTCATTATCTGCAAAGAGTTTTCTTTTTTTCCAAGACCATAATGGGGCCTAATCATAGCTTATGTGCTTACGTATCTGTCATTGTTTCAACCTTCCCTCCAGAATGGACCAAACCTCTTCTTTCTGTGCTTGTGGAACCCCATTGACTTCAAAAGAGGTTGCAGCTGCGCAGAAGAGTGGAGAATTTCATTGAGTTTCAACAAGTATAACAGGAAGTACAATATGGCCCTTCATATTCATTTAATAGTTCTTGTTTGGAGTTCAACAATCTAAAAATGCTCTGAGCTATGGAGAGGACTTCATGCCATTGATTTGCTATTTTGGTTTCCTTTTCCAAGAAAATGAACTGCAAAAGAGACATTTAAAAAGACAGCATCCTGTGTGCTCTTTCAAACCTTTTCCTCTTTATTTTAAAGACCTTTGTACCAAGGACCATTCAGTTCCATTAAACAGGTGCTTCTGTAAAAGTCATACTTATACTTTATAGAACTAAAATTAGTTATTGCTGACTATTTCCCCTGGAGTCCTGGGACTAGGCAAACAGGCTCAGATTTTATACATCAGTACTTTTTCAAATGGGCAGATTAAAATGTTCACAGTGCAATGATTAGCTGTGATGATCCAAACTGCCCTGGGTCTAACATTAAACTTTTAAAATATCATTGGATGTCAAGCAAGCAATTTATGCATGTTTGTAGTAATTAGTAGTAAACCCTTTATCATTCTGATGTGTCTGAAAGGAAGGTCAGAACCTTCACTGCATTAATGCTAATGCAGTTTATGTTCCTAAGTGGCCTCTATCCCACTTGTTATAATTCATCTCCACGGGCAGAACAACAGACACTCCCAAGACACTTTCCCCCCATACATCTTTCAAAATCCTCAAAGACTCGGTTCTACCATTGAATCCAGGGACTCCACTCACTTTTACTGTGATGGTGTCTGTAATAATTACAGACTGGCTGAAGAACCAGTGTTGTTTTAATCAGTTTCTATTGACTTTATGCAACCATGTAAAGCATAAACTTATTATGAGCCCAGCAGGGATTGGCCATTATTGTCTTTATGGGACCCTAGAATTTTCCAATGTTGAATCAAATGATTGATCACTTGAGGAACATACCGTGAAAATGTTTATGAACAGATCTGACTTCAGTATCTCCTGCAACTTTTAATTACCCCAAGGTAGAAAAGCAGCACTTGTTTTTGCCTGGCTATCTATCCATATTTTCATCACTAACTCAGAACTCTAAGTGGGCCACAGACAAGTATCTCCTGAGCTCTCTCAGGGAAGGCTCTCTGAAGAATGCTTTGCACTGAAGGGTCTTGGTAATGATGCCATTTAAACCTGCTACTGTATATAACACCACTAAGGAAATGCTGACTATAAGGGGTAGGTTTACAGATCCAGGCCCCACACTGGGAAGGAACTTCTGAACCCACAAAATATAGATCCAGGATTCCATAAGGGATCCCTACAAAAAAAGAGGAAGTGACACCTCCCTGTCTCCAATACTATCAGCTCAATAATGCCTCCCTTTCACTCCTATTAAGCAGTGGGGACAGCAGACCTCTGGATAAGATGATTGTTTCCCCCCTGTCCTTCAACACTAGGGAATAATCCGCTCTGTGATCAAAGGAACAAGAAGGTGTCAAGGGCAGCAATCAGCTAGGTCTGCAAAATATACCTTGCTGAGTTTTCATTGATAAAATTTTCTGGTATAACTACACAGCAGGATACAGCTAAACACGACACCTTCTTAGTATAACAATATTGTGCTACAGCTCTGTCTAGTTTGAGAAATGTGCTAAGATAGCACAGAAAACATTCCTTTTCCTGGGGAAATAATACAGCATGTGGCAGAATACCATCCCTATCTCTCTCCAGAACTCCACTACCTGACAATTTGGTTACCATGGTCACTCCTCTGCCCCATCTCTTCATGTGGCCCTGAGCTGGATACCTTCTGGAGGGAGGGCGGAAACCTGCTCCTTCTGCCTACATGACTGGCATCACATACCTGGGTGAGGGGCTGATGCTCCCTATTGTTCTAAGCAATGCCACCCTGATTGGGAGGGGGCTAGAGACCCTGCCAGTCTACCCAGCAACCAGCGATGCATTTCAAATTGGTCGGCTGGCAGCCAACAGGTGCTGGCCTCCATTGGACTAGGTAAATGAGGTCATACGGTCTATAAGTTAAGGACTGCCCAGAAGGAGGTGCAATAGCCATGATGAAAGATTAGAGAAAAGCTGGACGATCTGAAACTTGCTCTCTCTCTTGAAGCACATGATCAATGAACTGCCTGCCTCCAGAGGGAATCTCCACCTGCCTCTGGGCTGCCTGTTTTACTGGTTTCTTCAGTGTGTAGTCTGATCCAACAAAGAAGTTCATGCATCAAGCTCAGAGACAAATCCACTTGTGTCTTGAGCACTTTGTGTGTCAGGAGTATCCTTTGATTTCTTGTTGGGGTGAGGAAGGATTTCTGATTTGATATGGGCTTCTTTTATCACAAACGGACAACTCAAATCCCTCCAATCCCAGATATCTGCCAGCAAAACTTGATGGGTTCAATTATTCTCCCAGACAGACCCCCCTATAAGTCCCAATGAAGCCAATGGAAAATGTGTGTTCATATTTGAGGAAAGAATTGGGCCAACTGGGTGTTGCCCCATGAAAATCCATCTCGTGTGCTCATTCCCTGTCTGCTCATTCACCACTGTCTGTTGTAGCTGGAGACAGCACTTAGATTGCTATATTTGCACAAAGAGTTTTCACTGAAAGCCAACATAAATAAAAGGAAAATGAAGAGACAGTTACCCAGTCTCCATACTGTTCACCATTTCTGTGCTTGAATTTGAAAAAAAAAATCTTGGCACTCACCTGGATGCCAACCAATATTCCATTTTGGGGGAACTTAAATCCTGTGGACAGCATTGCCTTCAGGAAGGCAGAATGGACATCCTCCCCAAAACATGCAACCTGGTAAAATAGATGAATGAGAAACCCAGTTCAATTAAAAAACTATAATGTTCCTTTTTAAAGAGCCCAAGCTATCCTTCCTCCTGTCTTACCAGGCCTTCCTCAGAGCCAGCAGGGAAAAGAAAAGAAAGTCAACACAGACAATCATACATTTTTAATTAAGGAATAATGAAAGAATAAGCAGGGCTTTTCTTTAAACAGCCCACAGTGAAGGAACAGAAATGGAACCTGCTGTGAGTTATCTGAACACTAAACACAGCCTCTGATTCATAGAGTCTGGGAGTGTGTTACACAATATTTAATATGACTTAATGTTTAAATAATAGCAAATGTTATATGTGCAACTGTACTTCTGTACACAAATACAGAAATCTATGGTAGGAAAATCATTCATAAGTGGAAACCACAGCAGTTTCTCACTGAAATGCTAAATTTGGAACAAAAAAATAAAAAAAAAAAACCACAGTGATAAAAATGTCTCTCTCTCTCTCTGTTTTTTAACCGACTATTCTTTTTCATCCTAATGATTTACATCATACTACATATCACTTAGTATGCTGGGTCACACCCTTAGTTATGACATGCAGAAACCCATATTTCTCCAGAGAATAATAGCCAAGTACAAATGACAATTTCCCAGAGCTTGTTAGAAATCCAGGGGAAAATAATGAAGAAATTTGGTTTTCTGCTTTTTCACTGCAAATACGTCCATCAGCTCTAGAATGCCCATATTAGTAGATCAGCAACGGGGAAAGGTCACTTGGGGTAAAGAGCCAAGTTTCATTATTGTATTTGTTGTTATTTGTTGTTACAATATTACCATCATAATATCTTACAGTGACAGCTAACGTGTTCTTTTATCCAGAGCTGTCCAACTGGTGGCCTGTGGAAGGGCTAACCTGTGGCCTCCAGGCTCCCAGCCTGGGTCTACTCACCCCATCACTCCAGCTGCTGCCACCACCATGGAAGTCTCTGACCTCTCCATATTTCCTCCAGCTCTCATTGCCTGCCACCAGCCTTGGGGGCAGAATGGGGCCCATGGGACTCACAGCCAGGGAGCCTGGGGATGGGGGTGGGCAGGGACCTTGCATGGCACTGGAGCCCTGACAAAAGCAGGGAGGGCATTTGGTGCAGCAGGAGAGGCTATGCAGCACTGTGTGCAGGGTGGAGGGGCACTGCTATACAGCAGTGATGGAAAAGGTGGAGGGACCCACATGGTATGTCATGGTGTGAGACCCCATGGCATGTAGCTCTGGGACCATGTGGCCCATGAGGTGTGGGACCAGGGGGGCGGCAGCCCGCAGCCACTCAGAAGCTGCACAGACCTGTTTTAAGCTAATGGTTCTCAAACTTTTAGCAGAAACATAAAGAGGCCTGGACTGCAGCTTCTGGCTCCAAATTCAGATGTGCATGTTTTGTAAACATACACAATTCTATAAACTTCACTGTAGCTCCATTTCTCAGCCTTAGAACAGGTTTGTATGGCAGATCACTTAAACATTCATTAGTGAGGTGTGTAGATGGCAAATTCCAGAACTAATCACAAAAATCCAAGAGTACAGATGAGTGTGCTAGTGATGAGGAACTCCTACCTTAGACAAAATGCAACCTGCACCTTCACTCAATTCACACGACAAATTTAAGCGCAACACAAAAGTCATGTGCACGTTAATAACATCTTTGTAGAATAATTGGCACTTTACTAGTAGAGACTTATTATCCTTACTTCACTTGCAAGATAGACCCTCATAACTCTTGTGTTTTATGGCATTTGTGAACATGGATCTCTCCAACTCATAAAACTTAATAATCTTTCCCTTATGACTAAAATATTTTCTACCTCCATCTAAAGCTCAGTAAAGTAATTCTTGCCCCTTGGCTAAATCTCCATTCCTCTTTTGTGAAGGCAATTCCCTTCTGAAAGTAAGGAGGACACTTAGCTTTTTTTTCTGCCCATTGACTACACTGAAAGCAAACATGCTGTATAAAATTAAGTTCAGAATAAAACAATCCCATAGAGATGCAGAAACATGAGGCTTTTCAAGCATACATCTGAGCTAGTCACACTTGTACTAAGAGGGTTATGTCTAGACTGCTGACTAAGCAACATGTAAACAAACTCAAGGCAGCTTTAAACTGGCTAGCTCAGCTACACCCAGCATTGTAACTCAGCTTATAGATCAGCACAGGCCAACCACCTGAGGATCTGCAGGCAAGTTATGCAGCCTGTTATGAGCTCTGTGGTGCTATGTCCACATTCCCAGTACTGCCCAGGCTAGGTAGTTTAAAATTAGTGAGGCTATATCTGCAAAAGCTATAGATGGGGTAGGGACTGTAGAGAAAAGACACCTAAAGCTCCTTTACAATTGGTGCCCAGTTGATTACAAATAGAATTTATGTCTACTTGAAGGTCTTTTTCCATTTCCAGAGAGTGCAAAGGGGCCTTATTATAACAGAAAATCAGCCCATGCATCTGTATACACTGATAGTTTATGGCATTGTGCCCATTGCAGCCGGTGCCAGTATACACACAATGGAATGTGCTTCCGAAACCCATCGTGAAGTCACAGCATGTCCTTATGAAGACAGTTAAAGCTAGCCAAGCCCAACACACCAACCTAGAATTTCAATTCTTAAACATTATTTGTACTTTTTCTCACTTTTTGTTCTTGTGCACTTGTCTTTCTGGTTACCAGGCAACAATAAAAATATCACCAACAAAGATCTGTTGCCATTAAGTAACTTGTACAGCCCAAGACCAAACACTCATGACCTGAAGTCTGATATTGCCTTTCTGATGTGACATGATGGAAACTTTGAAAGCTGAAAGCTGTATGTACTTGTCGGTCAAGTACGAGGGGATTCATAAAATGGACTGACACCTTGAGAACTTTCCAGATCCTGACAGCTCTTCAAGAAACACATCATACTTTCATATAAACCACTGCCAATTGATGGAGTTGAGACACAGGTCAACAGGGACATCCAGTGGGCAAATCAACTGCATTCTTCAGGGCAATGTTTTAGTGTTTTACTACATTGGTGGTGGGGGAGGGCACAGTATCCATGTGTGCAGGAGAAGAGAAGCACTGCAATCTCAATTTTTCAAGATCTGGGTTGATATCTGAATGGCAGATAGCTCACATCAGGATAAATGCAGGATAAAGATAGTGTTAATTAACGTTTAAAGAGCAGTCACTAAAAACTGTAAGAAATACCTCCCCCGTGGAAGCCATCTCACAGCGGAGAATAGGGTCAGCATCTCTCAATCGGGGCCAAGAGAACATCGGAGCCTGTCAAAGGGAAAAGAAAAAGAAGGAAACTGACAAACTATCAGCAAATCCAGCTACACGGACTGTGACATTAGGTGATACATTGATCTAAGAGAAACATTGCTCTGGGTTAATGATCACCAGAGTACTAGGCAAATGGGTCCCAGGTAGTCTTGGTATATGCTGAGGAAATGGGGAAATGGTCATATATTTCACCAGTAAAATTCTCTTATGCGTAACCTGAGGCAAGCTTTCTAATATGCTGTAGTACACTATTATTTTTAAGAGGCAATTTAGTCTGATTCCTGAGGGAGAGACAAAACTGCTTCCGTTTGGGAAAAAAACAAATAAAGCTAGCTGGATTATTTCTTTGAGAAAATGCCAATTCACTGAAGTCAAAACATCCTTGGGAATATGTTCATTTGGACCAAATTTTCAACAGAAATCAGATGAGTTGCCTGTCAGCTTGCCAACCCATATTCCCACCTTCAGGCTTCTCTGCAGAGCCCTGGCAGGCTGCAGGAAAGGCAGGAGCTCCTCAGGCTCATGGGCTCCTTAGGTCTGCAGTGGCCCACTTGTTGCACTGCCCCTACTGTCCTGTTCCTTGAGTCCTTTGGAGAACACGTGCCTGCCCAGGCACTGCGCAACATAGGGAGTAATCCAAAATATCACACTTTGGGAACCATACTGGGCTTCCTTCCCATTAAAAAGTTTCAATATCTGAACTTCTGTTCTGATTCAGGACAACTTTGTTTTTAAAAAATTCAAAGTTTTTCACAGGAAGTAAAACCTTTTTTTTTTCCCCGGACAGCTTTTATGGACAAGTACACCTAAATGCTAAAATATCCATTACCAGTCCTGTAGATTTAAACTGTCAACATGATGCCTTTGGCAATTGGTGCAATTGGATTTGGAAAAAGCCATCCTAGCGGAGACCTGATGACAACACATGGAAAATTTGGATCATTGTACTATATGTTCTGCTCAGAGATTGCACATTTGTTGTAGGGGTTTTCTTTCCCACATTTTTAGAACTACTGATGCCATTTAATTGCAACATCATCCTTTTTATTTAGGGAGTAATCTTCTCTTAACCAAAAGGCATGTTTTGTACCTGAAACATCTATGAAAATCTCTATGGGAACTGATGGTGACATCATAGACAGTATTCCAGTTGCAGACTGGACAATAAGTAGCAGCAGCAACTAAATGGTAAGGGGAGGCCTTTACACTGAGAGCTGAATGTAAAAATGGTATCTGGAAGGTCCACCCATGCATTTTGGTGGCTTCCAGAGCAGCTGTGCTTTGTTTACAAATTATGGAGATGTTTCCTTTCAATTACAAGCCCTGCAATCCCAACCTAAGATCTGAATACTAAGTTGGGGTTTTAATATCACACCCATTGCTCCCTATCCTTAAGGTTATTGAGACTTCATTTTTCTGTCAGTGATATCTGTGCAGGTCCTGGTCCTCAAGGTCCACCTTCCACAGAGATGCAAAGAAATGATTCTGAAAAATGTGGCCCTGAAATCAGAACTTAGTTGCAACTTTTTTAGGTGTTGTTTTATCCAACTCTGAATCCTGGTCATTTTCTCATAGCTCCACAATGAGACAATAAAAGCACAGTTTAGTCAGTACATTTGAGAAGATATAACTATATTCACAAGGGAGCAGATCTGCTGAGAAAGAAGGTGCTATTTTTGCAGTCTCTTCAGAGCACTTAAGTACCATTTGAGAAACAAAATCCAATTTTCATGCAAATGGTCTGAGCAATGAAAAAGTACAGAAAAAACAATGTATGAATAAGGAGAATTGCATCTAAATGGAATATTTTTTAAAGTTCAACATCTTCAAAGCTGTTATCAAGTCTTTTATTTTGACAAATAAACACACCCAGCAATGCAAGCGGTTTGTAGGGAAATCTTCAGGAACATAGCTGGGATTTTCACCGTGAAGTTAATATTCCTGGAAAAGCTGGAACTCTGACAATTTAGATAACAACTCATCAAGATCCATAGGATAAATTTGAACACTCATATATAACATCAATCAAATAAACTCTGGGTATCATAATGTCAGAAAACTTGACCTCTGATATAAGCAAACTCTGACGATTCTTAATGGTATGGCAATTTGGTAAATACATAAATGTGTAGGGTTTGGCCATCAGTCTATTATATTTTAGTAAGATAGTACAGATTGTTTGGAATATTATGTTAAGAGAAGGGGATTACTCCTCATCCCTATAATATCCAAGTGAGCACATGGCATACTGTTGTTACATCTAAAGTCCTGCTAACTGCTTTAGAAATTTTAAAATTTGAAAAATATTCTGTTTAGACAATTCTTATATATACACCAAACTATCTGTGCTTCCATTCTGTTTTTCAGAAGGGGATCCTTTTTTGGGCAACATAGCTCATGACAATCAAACATAGCAAATGTCTAAGAAACTATAGTTATTTCTGATTAGTGGATAAAGATTTGTTTGATTTTTTCATACTGCATATCACTCACAACCTCTATTGTAATGAGATGAAAAAGAAAGATCAACCACATTATCCAGCCCACCCCCTGACCAGAGAGGATTACCTTTATTAATTAAGGGTAGTTAAGAGGTGGATCACAAAACTGCTAACAGGCACCAGTGCAGTTGTTCTACTGCTTCGTTTCCCACATTCATCTTTTTAAAATCATACCTTAATACCAACATACTCAGAAGGAATAATGGGATGTTCCAATGTTGGAAGGGATGACGTGTCAACCTTTTTTCCAGTCATCACTTTTGTGGCCACATCAATAAAGTCCACACCAAGAGTCTTTGACACAAAGGGGAAGGAGCGTGAGGCCCGCATGTTGCACTCTATCACCTGCAGAGATGAAGAGTAGAAACTTCAGTGCCACAGATCTGTTAGACAAAGAGATAAGGCCCTTTCTTCTAACCTTAGTTCCCAAGTGTAAATGCCCATGGAGTTCTATGGAGTAGCACTGTCCATTCCTGGAAGAAATATTTCCAAGTAGCCACTATGGAAAGGTATGGATGTTGTGGCCATAATTTTAAAGTGGTGAATAATATGGAGTGGCCAACTTGAGACACCTCAACAGGGGCTGACTTTCAGTAGTCAGGGGTTCTGTAGCTTCTGGAAGTCAAGGCCCTTTAGGTTGTGTCAAACTGAATACCTTAAAAAGGTAGCATACACCAAAATTAGTATTCACTTTTGAAGTTTCAGCTTGTGTCCTCCACACTTTGACTTGAAGTACAAACCAGAGAAGTACAAACGTTGGTGTACAAACCAAAGAAGGGAGAGTTGTGCAAACATTTTCCTATTTGGTAAAGACAAACCCTAATAGGTGTTTCATATACATCTTTATTTATCAGTAAGAGTGATGCTGTAGCCAGAAATCATGCAAGATACAAGGATTTCTTAGGGGTTTAAGGATTTCTGATATTTTTTATTAAACCAACTATGTAGTTCAGATACAGTTAGACAAGGCTTTGAATGCAAGACATTCTTCACCAGGTCTCATAGTTGAAAGCTCATCCAACTTTTCCCCAGCTACATTGTTTGTCCAAGATATCACCATAAGAAATCTTTGCCTCTCTCATTCATTTATGAGTAAATATTTGATCAGATGAGCAGCTGTGGAAGACTTTTAGGTTAGTGGAAATTCACTTAGAGACCAAAGCTAAAAACAAAGATCTGTAAAGCCCATTTTATAATTTCACTACATAGTTTATGACTAAAGGAAGGATTGGTGTCTGTGGAAGAGAGTAAGAAGGAACTGGTGAAAAAAGTAGAAGTAATGGTGGGGATAAAAAGGGTGGCGGGATCAGGGAACAAGAGGAAACAAAACAAAGGAGAAGCAGGACTGGAGGGATCCTTTGCACACACCTGTGTTTCCTCTAATCAGTTGAACAGTTTTATCAAAAATCTGTTTACAAATTGAGACAAGGGTCAAACATGCAGGATAAATTATTTCCAGCTAATATTCAAATGATACCTTGTACAGACCAGCCCCACCTTGGTCTGGCAAAATCTTCCATGCCAAAACTCCCAGATGCCCTTTTACTAACAGTTCTCCCCTGACCACTGTTCACTGAACTATTCTCCATGCCTGCAAAATCTCCATTTGCTCCATTTTTCTTCCAAGTGTTGAGCCTGATGACCACAATGGACTAGTGAAACATTAGAGATTTTAGTGTATAGTCGAGAAAACAAGACACGGGCCATGTTCCAATAAATCACATTTGAAACTGACTCTTTTGAGCAGGATGTAAGCACAGAAACAAACATATTTATTGACTGACAGCAGCTTTACACAGCTTGCTTCACCATCAAGTTTCTGTATTGAGTAGGCAGAGAGAGCTCTTTTCTTCTACACAACTGCAGAGTGCTATGCAAAGCAACGACTGACTTTTGAATGGCACAGAGCACCATGTGCCATCAAACCAGGCAAGAATCATGTGTTCAACACAAACCCATGCATTACAACAAATGACTACAACATTTCCATTCCTACACACGATGTAAACACAGATAAAGGGGTCACTGGCAGGACACAGGCTTAAGATAGAATATTTTGAATATTCTCTTCCTAAATGGTATGGGAGCTCTTACCAAGACATTGTTTCCTCTGACCAGGAACTGAATGTTGAATGGGCCAGAGATGGCAAAGGCATTTGCAATCTTTTTGGTGGCAGCTTTTACCTACAAAAAAATTGGGAGTATATTTATTATGTACAAACCAATTCTAGTGTGGCTTTATGAAGAATTCTGAGTTATGTTCCTACTCAGACAGTTTCTGTCCCCACTCATTTTCACAACTGGTAGCAGCTTTTGAGGACCTTGTGGGTTCATTCTGCTGGATAAATCCAGAGCCAGATGCTTCACTCAAGAGGACAAGAATGAAAATATAGTCTCTCATATGTGTTTCTGGCAATTCATAAAAAATTATATACTACATCAGAGTGGGTGTGTTAGTATTTCTGGCCAACAGAAAATGCTAAGCTAGCATTTTACAGTTTGAAAGAAACTGCTTGCCCTGCAGTTCTCCCAAAAGTCGTTTAGCAGTATACTGATGTCATCACAGATCAATGATACTTGTACTAGAAGTACAGTGGAGCAAATCAAGTAAAGAAACCAAATTTAACATCTTCTAGAACCAAGGGTGCTCAACCCACAGCCCATGGGCCAAATCCAGCCCCCAGCACTGTGTAATTCAACCCATGGACTTCCCTAGGGGTCTGTGGGGAGTTCTGCAGGCTGTGGCCTTGTGTGCCAGATCAGGGTTGCAAGGCAGCTCAGGGCCTGATCCCAGCATATAGGGCTAGGCAAAGGCAGTGCAGGGCCCTGGGGCCTAATCCTGGCCTGTGGGGGCAGTGTGGGGCTGTGCCAGACTCCTCCTGGATGTGCGAGCCCCTGGATTTGCGCACTGGATGAGAGGAAGCTGCCACTGCTGCCTGAGACAGGTGACAGCAGCAATCTTGTCCAGTGCTCGTCCCAGCCCGTGCCCAGTGCTCGTCCCAGGTGGAAGAAGCAGCCTTAGCCTCCTCTCATTCGGCACGCAGATCTGGGGGCTCGCACCCTTGGAAGGTGTCTGGCACAGCCCCGCAGCCCTCCCAGGGGTGCGGCCCCTGGATCGGCGCACCAGATGAGATGAGGCTGCCACTGCCAGCAAGCATCATGACTTTTGCTTTGAACAGTTTGAGGTGTGATTTCCCAGAAACCTCTGCACCTATCTCCTTGAAGCTTGAGGCATCATGCCCTCAGAAGGGGCTACCATCCCTGAAAATTTCATCCAACTCAGGCAAGAAATGACAACGTTTTAAGAATTTTCATGATTCCCCATTATAGCCTATGGGCGAAATGTCAAAACTCGTTGGAACAGCGAAACTGTTTCAACAAAATGAAACAGGACAGTGCTTCAAAACAAAACGAAATGTCAAAATAAAACGCTGTCCCTTTGAAACAGTGAAACGGACATCAAAATGAAATGATGGTGTTTCACACAGCCCTAGTACTAACCCTCTCATTTGAGCTCTTCATAGCTTCCAAACAGACCTCTTTACAGTGCAGCATACTTTGATTCAAAGACATCCCATTTAGGATGTTTGTAAAGATAAATCTGCCTTACTAACGTAACCTGTAAAGTAGATAAAAAGTGATTGGCCAAGTTGCATTTATATTTTTGCTCTGAATAGAGATGTCATGTTTTGGTCTACTCATTGGCCACTACTGGTCACTTAACTTTTCCTGAATGCATCTACTAAGGAAAGCAAGTCAAGTAAAAGATGATTCTGGGACTTTATTTTCTCCTTTGTTTGCTTGGATTTAGGGAAACTGACCTTTTCCAACGCTCCTTGACTGATAGTTTGTGTGGGTAAGATCAGAGTAGCATCTCCAGAGTGAACTCCTGCATCTTCCACATGCTCAGAGATGGCATGTGAGATGACCTGCATAAAAAGAGAAAGACATGTATTAGTCATTCCATCAGTATGGCTAGCTGTACCTTCTCTTCCATGTACACTATGAAGATTCCCTGCATGAGTCCGCAAGAAACAATAAAAGGGATGGAGAAATACAATAAAAATAGAATTCCCTAGGAACTTCAAACGTAGTAGTTATTAGTGCCCACAGCATCATTCTCTGGCCCTTTTTATGTCTAACTATAGTAGTCACCCCAGTTAAATTCCATCTATCTCTGCAAAATGCCATTACATTTTAAAAAAACAGCTATCATGCTTCTGGATATGAGCTGGTTGGCTGTGTTGGCTGTGTAGTCAGCAAGCAGTTCCCATTTCTTTTTCACCATTTATACAAACAGATAGATGTTGTGGATATTTCACTTCCCTCTGAAGTATCATGCTGTATGGACTATTGCTAGACTCTCTGGTCTGGTCTATTGTAATTAATCCGATGTTCCTGTTTCAGGTCCCAATTCAAAGTCCAAGAGGAGATCTCTCACTGATTTAGGGGGCATTGTACCGGGCCTTGTGAATATTTAGAGTAAAACATTGATGGAAATGCTAGAGAATAAACTCAGAGAAAAGCAAAGGCTTCAAATTGAAAAATATGGGCCAACTAATGCTGGGCTTATCCAGACTCATTCTTTCACCATCTCAGGAACTAATGGCAAAAAGAAACAATGAAAGGCAAACCTTAAAATGGACTACCAACTGGTGCAATCTTTGAGGGGCAGATCAGTGGGAAAATTTCTGGAGAATTGATATCCATGAAAAATTAGTTTTGTTTTTAGTTTATCTCTACTTAATACAACTAAGAACCATATCTAACCACCATAAAAACCATGGCTTAAAGCAACACATTAATCAAGTCACCGTGACTCATATTTTGCAGACTTCAGGGAAAAAATAAAGAAACTGTATAGAAGGAATAAAAAAAGTTTCTTACTCTTCCAGCATTGGCTACTGCATCCATTTCCACCTCTCGGGCCTCCTCAATGAATTTTGTCAGTACAACTGGGTATTTCTACCATTCAAATAAAACATAAAAGAGAGCATTTATGAAAAAGCATTTTTGGTATTATAATATCATAGTAGCCAGGGTTGGAAGGGACCTAAACAGATAATCAAGTCTGACCCCCTGCCTTGGTAAGGAATGTATTTTGGGGTCATATGACCCCAGTCAGGTGTCTATCCAGCCTCCTCTTAAAGACCCCCAAGGTAGGAGCAAGCACGGCTTCCCTTGGAAGTTGGTTCCAAGTCCTAGCTGCCCTAACCATAAAGGAATGCCTCCTGATGGGAGGTACCGTAGGACCAATCCATCTTTAATCATTAGAACCATCTTCAGGTGCAAAAAAACTGTAAGTCAAAACGTATACTTCATTTTACATATGAACAAACTATTGCCCAAAGAGATGAAGGAACTAACCTTGCATTATTGTATGAAAATTGCTACATAAAAGGTGCACAGCACTTAGCAGGATTTGGCTTTTCATAGCCCCATCACAGTCACAGGGAAAAAATTGCGGCAGAAACAGAAAAAAATCCCTGAAATGAAATCTTGGCTCAGGGTAGTTAATGTCAGTGCTCCCACTGATCCAATGGGACTAGCATTTCACTAGCAGGAGCCTGACTAAATTCTTCTTGTGCCTGCAAGGCTCCTGTTCCTCAAAAACCTTCTCCTATTCCTGATTACTGGTTTATAGAATAATCAATTGCTCATTACTTTGCACCAATGATTGTTTGCTCACCCAATTAGTTACATACTTCAGTCAATGAATCTGCTCCTCTCTCACAGTGGAATCTGCTTAACTCCTAATTGTGGCCAGTCATTATGCAACAGTGACTGTCACCATATTGCCTCTTCCTCATTGTTTTTTTCTTTCTTTTTCCTAGCCTTCACCTGCCTCCTCTGGGACAAACTCATCCCATTATGACCCCTATGCCTCTGCCTCCCTGCATCTCCTCAGACTGGGACCCTGCACCTCGGAGCTAACACCACCAATTCCGCCACAACTCAAGCCCAGTAACATGACTATCATCCTTGAGTCTAACTTTTCTCTTGGTTTATACATCCATACCACTTCATTCTTCAAAACGTTGGCAAGATGCAGCTTTTTTCCCCATCTGCACAGCTAAAATTATCATCTGGACAACCATTACCTTGACTTCACTACTGGGAAACCTCATCATCTCTCAAGCCTCCTCAATATGTGCAGCTTACTCTCTCAAGGCCATTCAAAAGAAACCTCCTAAGTCTGTTTTCCTGACATAATGTTTTTACCATGCCATTCCATTGTCGCCTGCCCTTCTGCACTCAGTTAAATCCAAACTTCTGGTCCTGACACTGAAGGATTTTCAAAAGGTACTTTATGATGCTTATGCCTTGCAGAGTTGGCTCCCCAGCTCTATTCAGCCAATGCTAGACTGAGTGTACCACATCTTCCATAAGTATCTCCACCCTTTCGCCCTTGCCACCTGTTACACAAACAGTGCTCTTAAGTCCATTAGGCACCTAGGTCCTCTTTTATGCCCTGCTGAATTTTACCATAATGTCTATGGGGAAAAATGACTACTAATAATCGCTTGGTAGACAGGTCCTAGTACATCTATCTTATGACCGAAAGTATACACGCAGCAGATCTATGTATTAACTTTAACTATGTATTATTCTCACTGTGCCCTATTTCTCCTTTTCTCCACTCCCTCTTTTTGTCTGCTGATAAATACAGTAAAAACTGATAGGTTCAGATCTACACCTAGGACAAATCAACCACAGATTCAATTCTTGGTGCCTGAGCAGCCCCTACCACAATGGAGCCCAATACTGCAGAAGATCACTTGTGTTATCCTAATGTGAACTGCAGATAAACAATAAATCCCACAAAGGTGACAGTACAAACTAAGCAGATATTCCCTACATAGATTTTCATATACTTAGGGCAGGCGCGGTAACAGAACAGCAGAGATATCTGCAGAACCCAGCCCAAGAGAGATCTCAAATTGGATAAGGAATTTACCCTGTGCAAGGAGCTCACTGCATTTCTGCTACACAGAATGACTTCCAATTTGTTCATAGGAATAAACTATGGTATTGGATTTTATGTTTAAATTCTTCTCTCTAACACTCCTGGACCATTCCTCTGTCTAGCTCCAGTTATAGCAGATAGTTTAAATCTAATCCATCACTTTGTTTTGGGCCATCACTACATCTCAACATCTTACCTGTCTCACCCACTATTAACTGCCAATTATTTATTAGACAATAAAATGAAATAAATGAGATCCTCTTCATGCTCAAGAGGCTCCTTTGGAAATATATAATAAATGTAAGGGAATGTGTCTTGTAACCATTGGACTCACTATAGCTGTATTATCTTACGTAGACAATATAGCTACAGTGAGTCCAACGGTTACAAAACACATTCCCTTACATTTATTAGAGGAAGAGTGAATTCACAAGAGAAGACAATGCTACCATCTAGACTGCTTCATAAATTTCGGTCTTGATGCAATTTTTCATTGGAGCTTTTACGAGTGAACAGGTCTTTGATTATTCTTATTTCTCTCATTCTTCTAAGGAGGATGGAAATTCATCCACAGAATGTTATTGATATACTTAGTACCATATAATGCCTTTCCACAATAAAAATACACCTCTTGTGTAACTAAATCCTCAGAACAAGTCATGATGCTGGGCAGTCACTTACTTCTGGAAATGCTTTGTTGGAAAGACCAGAGGGGGAAAACGTTCCATAACCATATCCCACAAAGACATATACTTGGCTGCATCCGCACAAGCACGGATGTTTGTTTCCCCAGGTACAAAAAGCAGCAGCACACCTTGTGCTGCTACTTTGCATCCCTGGGGAACACCCAGGTTACCCCAGGTGAGATAGGGGAGGCTGGGGCCAGCAATTGTGCTGTCCCCAGAAATCTGCTGGTATCATGCATCCTAACTCTCCTGATATCAATGGAACTATGACTATTCACACCAGCTGAGGACCTTCCCCTCAGTTGTTTGCTACCAGTAGTGTATCAGGCATACTCACAGCAGCCTGAAGGAGGAGCATGGTCCAGAGAATAGGGCTAAGGGCAAGAACTGCAGATAACTGGATTCTATTTCCAGAACCAAGATTGACTCCCTTGCTGAGGAATACTCAGCAAGTTGCTTCAGGCCAAATATGCAGAGGTAACATTTTCTACTATATTGGAAACTGAGTTGTTTTGAAAATATGGCTCCAAATGCAGATGGTGGCCCTGACCTCTTATGTGAATCTAGTATATCATTTTTCAAAATTCAGATAATAACGATCCTTACTCTTCTTTGTAAATCACTTTGAAGTGGACAGATGAAAATGTACTAACTATTCTTATTATTGTATTGACTTACTCATTAAGGGTACTATTATCTGCAATATCTTATCATTGAGTCCTCTCACCTTGCCAAAGGCTTAACCACCATCATTATACTGTGCACTTTTAAAATATCCAGCTTTTCTTACCACTGAAACCTTAATGACCTTGGTGTATGCCAGAATTCCTTTGCTAAATAACAACACAATTAGCTTTAAAGTTTAGTTGTGTTAACAAAAAACGACTGCCCTTTTTTTAAGTGGAGTTAGTTCTGATGTGTTTATTGTATTGCAGGTGTCTATTGTGAATGGAAGTTATACATGGAAAAAGAAATAGCTCAGCAAGCCAGACAAATAAATAAGATCAGTCTCAGAGAATGCTGATACAGAAGACTCCCAGCTAGCAAAGAGCTTTCTTTGAAACTTTGACATTCTTCATTCAAGTCCATTTGTTTAGTGTTCATCTTCTTCCCCTTTTTCAGCTTTCCCAATATCTATTGTGCCTTAATAGTGATGGAAAGTACAGAAGTAACTCAGCAGAACAAATAATTGTTCGACACTGCACATAATGAATGAATGGAGTTTGTTTACCGGCCTCTGCTCTACGCACTCTTTTTGGAAATTATGCTGATACGTCTTTTTTGTTCCCTCAAAGTTTCATTTGATAAATTTCAAACTCTGGCCCACCTAAAAAAAGTACCCCAAACTAGCTTTTGAAAGCACTTAAGAAGTTAAAAATACCTTTATCTTCTGTATTACAGTCTCTGCTGGTCAATTAGCCAAATGCATAAATATGAAGTAGACAACAACATTGCTTTTTTCATTGCCAATGAAAAAAGGAAACATAAGAAAGAAGGAGAGATGTCAGATATTATGGTTAATAGCTATTCATAGATCCATTGCTCATGAATTTGTTGAGTTCCTTCTTGAACGGGATATACAATCTGCTTCTACAAGCTCCTGTAGTAATGGGTTCCACAAATTAATTACACAATGCATAAAAAGTACCTTTTCTTGTTAGTTTTAAACCTGTCTCCTACTAATTTTAGTGAGTGCCCCTGGTTGTGAGACTTGGTAAATAACAGTTCCATATTCACTTTGTCTACACCCTTCATGATTTTATAGACCTCTATCATATCCCCTCATTCGCCTTCTCCTTCCAAACTGATGAATCCTAGCATTTTTAATCTCTCCTAGTAATTCAACTGCTCTGTACCCCTGATCATTTTGGTTGCCCTTCTCTGTACTTTTTCTAACTCTACTACATCCTTATTCAGATGAGATGACCAGAACTGCACACAGAATTCAAAATGTGGGCCCACCATGGATTTGTATAACGGCATGATGATGATTTCGATTTTGTTTTCAATTTCCTTCTTAATTATGCCCAACATTTCATTAGCCTTTTTTGTCACCATTTCAACTGAAAAAAAGCAGGGGAGCTTAACTTGCTAGCAATTAGCTTATATAGGATAACCAGAGAGGTACTAACTTTAATACATTAACTTACAGCAAACATATTGACCAGAAATAGCAGTCCCTATGTAATGGCTACTTAGGCATCAATCACAGGGGACAGCTTGCAGCAGTTAACATCAGTGTACAATCTCCCTCAAAGGCAAAAAGCCAAATCCCTACCTATAGGCAGTATCATGATACTCCAAGAGAGGTCCCACTGACATGAGCAAGGCTTCTAGCACAGTAAGCACACCATATTCAATGCAAGGGTGATCAGAATCTGCCCATAAGAACAAGGGGTAAGTGCTGTCAGCTGTGCTTAAAAGGCCTTATTCCAAAAGGAGAAAGCGAACAACTGAGAGGAAACTGCATGGGAAGAGAGGAGGGGATAAATGAGTACTGTGAATGTAAAGAGCAGTAAAGACACAGCCAAAGAAAAGGCCAATACCTGGGAGACTCTGGTAGCTTCTGCTAAGAACTTCTTCATCTCTTCTTCTGTGAATACCACATTCATTGCAGACCCACTGTGAGAAAGGAAATAATATAATATAATATAATATAATATAATATAATATAATATAATATAATATAAAGCAGGCTGCCTTCCTTTGTGTTATAAAAAAGCAAAACATGCTATACATCACAGCACTTGTTCTCAAACTACTGTACTGTTACTATTAATGCCATCTCCCTGATTCCAACCACCTGTCCCCTCCTTGACTGGAAGAAAGGAGAAGCTGGTCTGTAAAGCCAGACTCCATTGTACTTACCCAACAAGATGAGTGACCTCAAGAAAACTTGGGAGGAAAAGCAGGGCTTGAGTGAAGAATCAAAAAAAGAAGCTGAAGTGTAGCATAACCTTCCCCAAGCTCCCCTTTCTGATCTAAAGCTACAAACCCTTTGTCTCATCTTCCACAAGAGATCTACTCAGTGACTTCTTCCCACTCAGAATCAAGCCTCTTGCCTCAGTTCACCACCAGTTTCTCATCTTTCTGTATGTGTGCATGTTAGCTAGGAGTTCACTATCAAAAGGGACACTTTATCCAGTCTTTGGAGTGCCTGCTTGTCACAATGCCAGGTGGAAACAGAAATGCATAAGCTTGGCAATATCTGTGACAGCCTGAGTGTGGGGAAAATGTGCAGTGTTTTACTAGGAATTGTGTGGCTGGGCCCTGCCACTGAATGCTTTCCAGTGCCTGAGGACCATATGTGAAAAAAAATTGCTCTGAAATCTCATCATCCAAAATTTCAAGAAAAGGGGCCTGGGAGAAAGAAGATAGCCTCAGAGTCAGCTGTTTGCTCCCCTTTTATAACCAACTGCACATACAAACCTTCTTTAAAAAAAAGGAAGAAACTGTTACACCTGCTTTTTTCCTACTATACTTCTACTTACACTCAGTAAGTCTCACTGGCCCTTTTATTTCAGTGTTAAATTCTCATGGAAATTTGGAGGAAAGGGGATTTAAGAGTATTCCCTTAGGGAATATTTTAAAAGCTGTCAATTTTACCTAAGAGAAGTAGATGAGATTGCCTGAATGTTCACAGTATTTCCCTATACTCTCCTTTTCTTAGTGGCCTTACATAAATCAGTATAAAGCCATGGGTTTCAAAACAACTATGCCAATTTACATCAACTAAGGATTTGGTCCACTGTATTTCATGCACAATTTAAGGGTCACAAGGGTCCTGCATGAAATTAGTCAGGATTATAACCACAAGAATTACTCTGCTTTGGAAGGTGAGGGAAGATAGCCAGAATACTGCAAGATTTATTTTTTGCTTTGAAATTTTGATGCATTTCCACTCTACTACTGTCCCCCTCACTCCCCACCCTCCACCCCATATACTCCTCTTGTCCCTGGACTTAAAACACCTCTGAAGTATTGCATTAAAAACATCTCTAATGCAAAAGTCTTTCTGAATGGGATAAAATCGATAGGATCTATAGATTTTTTTTTCTAAAAGCCTAGGGACACACATCTATAGCATTTTATAACCCTCCCCCAAGCTATAGGGAGTTCTGTTCCTGCAACAGGGCTTCATACAATGGTTCAGCAATTCTATATCATTCTGTATTCAGTTCTCCAGGATTTTTCGATAAGGGTACAGCACACATTAAATCTTTTTTTTTAAATAAAAAGATTGTTTCTACTCCATTTAAAATGAACATGATGCTACTCATTTTGATATTTGTCTCTCTTTCTTATTAAAAGGACCCCATCTCTGATTCTATTTGCACTTGCAAATTGCACCCAGCAAATTGCATCTCTTTTCCTATCTGCTCAGCTATGAAGCTCCTCGCTACATTCACCTCTGAAGAGTGATTGTTCAGAACCCTGGTGTGTGCTGATGCAACTTCTTGCAAAGTTTAGCTGTTAGAAATGCTTGGCTTTGTAAAGGAACTATTTGAAAAAAAGTAGCTGCCAAAATAGAGAGACAAAAAACAGGCGCAAAAAAGCATTTGTAAACAGGAAGCTGCATCCAGAGGAGCTGATAACATATAGGGATGTGCTATCATTTCTGACTGACAACAGCTGCTGGCAGGATACATGTTCCTAGTATGTTTCTGTCTCTTTTTCTGCATGGAAAACTATTTCTCCTTTCCAATGGTGGACAGACATCACGAAACATTTCCAAGAACCCCAAGGAGTATCATAGATGTCTCATGCTCTTGGCCTTGGGTCATGAAGAAAAGTATGAAAGCAAACAGACATTATTAGGACCTTGTCCTGCCTTTGATCAGTGCCCAAGAGACTTAGTGGATTTCTTGGCTTCTTTTAATGAAAGCTGTATCCTGTCTTCACACAGCACAGTGTTTCTGTCCATCTTCTAGAGAAGCAGCTCTTCTCCTCCCCCTTCAAAGAGCTTCCACCACCACACACACATTACTTTTGTACATACTGCATGCAGCCTGATATGCACTGATAGACAAGCTTTACCTCAACACATAGGAAGGCCTCAGCAAGCATGGGTAGCCCACAGAGTCTGCAAAATCAACAGCTTCTTTCTAAAGAGTAAGGGGGGAAATAGATTATGAATTTAGGAAGGTTTTAAATTATACTTGTAATGGTAAAACAAGCTACATTTACCCTTATCCCCAATAATGAAAAATCTGATGATGAAAACATCCTACAAGTGTGTACAGGCAATGCTTAACCTCTGAATTTCTTCAGCTCTTAGTTTGCCTCACAAACCCTCACACATAGGGTGCTTGTCCACATAGCATAATAGTGAGAAAGTCTGATTAGAGCTCACAATAGTCAGTGAAACGCAAAATGCATAAAACTACTGGGCTGGATTCTCTGGGCCATTTTACATGTTTTGTGGTGCCTGAGTACTATAATATACTCAAAAGTTATAAGAGCTGTCAACATTTGGTATGTCAATTCCTTTCCGCCCCTCAATCAAAACAGCATTATGAGGAGCAAGGGGACAATCTCTCTGTTTTATTGTGTTTTGGTTTGGTTTGGTTTTTGAGGCCAGGGAGTAAATAAGAACCACCTTGAGGTTGTTCTAACTTATGTTAAAGACTGGTCCCAGGATCAGGGTAGCATAAAAGTAATCTTCCCCTCCCAACTCCAACACTGTTTTACCATTTTCTCTGGAATACACCTTAACCAAAAAGAAGGTTCAGACCTTGTAAATGTTGTCACTGATGCTTACTGTGATTAAGAAGTTCATGAATGTTGATAGTAAATTGTTTCCCAAGTGAGGTGTAATGCATGTTCTAGAGCAGAGTTTCTCAACTTATGGGCCGCAACCCAAAAGTGGGCTGCAAGAATATATGAAAGGGTTGCAAACAAATGGATTCTCCTTTAAAGGAGACAAATTTGGAAAACCGTGGCTTTTCCTTTGCAGGCTAGCAGAGTTCCAGCCTGCAAGGGGCTTTTTGCCCTCCCCCTCCCTACCCTGCACACACCTGCCCCCTGCCCCACACACTGGGGGGGTTGGGGCACTGGGTTGGGACTGGCTATTAATGTTTACAAGTGGGTCCTGGTACAAAAAAGGTTGAGAATCACTGTTCTAGAGCAGAGGTTTTCAATTTTTTTTTTTCATTTGTGGACCTGTAAAGATTTTCAAATGAAGATGCAGACTCCTTTGGAAATTTTGAATGGAGGTGAAGACCCCACTGAATTGTAAGTGTGAGTACTCACATATTTTGATTGATCATAGTCATCTTTCATGGAGCCCTTAGACAGTCTTTGAACACCCGGGACCCTGTGGACCCAGGGGTCCGTGGACCACAGGTTGAAAACCACTGCTCTACAGCTTGGAATTAACTTATACAATATGCCACTTGAAGAGCAAATAAAATATCCAAATCCCTGTCACCTCTCACATAAGACATACCAAAGTGCTAACAGCCTTCCAGGGTGCCTGAGCTACATTGAGGTCATCCAAAACAGCTGAGAATACAGATCGGTCTTCTGCCCGGTCAATCTGCAAAGGGCTGGTGCCCAGGATCTTCACCCCATTCTTGTACAGTGGTATTGCCAGGTTATTTGGAATCTGCCCACCTACAGAAATAATGCAATCACTGCATCCCTGCAGACAAGAAGACAGCAAAAGAGAGGGGTCCATGGTCATGCAAAGTGACATCTCCCTTTGTTAGCAATGACTATTATTTATTATCCAATGCACTGTTTTGCAACCTATCCAAACAGTGCCAGAACAGAGTTGTATTGATCCAGGAGCAATGCAAGAGGCAGACTGCAAATCAGAGACTACATCTTTCCTAGGGAAAAAGTGCATTCCTCCTTTGTGTTACCCAATATGTTGACAACACAAGATTAAATCTTAGTTCATCCAAACATGGAGCTTTAGTACCCAGACTATCTGGGTCAGATCAAAGACTCCAACCCACCCCCAACGTATTCCAGTCACTCCTGTCATCCTTGGGGATGGGAAGCATGTAAAGCAGTGGCCTTGCAAAGCCAGCTCCCCCTCTTATGCTGCATTCCCTGGGAAGGACAGGCTTCAGTTGGGAAAGGGATGTCTTAAATCCCTTTCTCCTTTGTGAAGCTACATTTACCGTAAGTAATAAGAACCTGTTTCTAAGTAAGGCTAACAGCCTGTCCAATGCTTTGCAATGCAAACAAACCTACAGACTGCAGATTAGACAGCTGATTGGACTACATAAACCTCAACAGATAAGGGGCTTATTGGGTTTGGGTTTTTTGTTTTCAATACATTTAGTCTTTTTTTTTATTTATTTAGGATCCAGATTTCTGCTAATGCATTCATACATATTCAACTCACAGCTTATGCAAGCAAATTTCAGACTACAGGGCTCTCTCAAATTCTCTACCTCTTTTCATTGTATGAGAAAAGTCAGGGGGTATTGCTAACCTAAGTACATGGGTCTTTTTTTGTTGTTTCCTGCTTGGATGACCTTACCATTTTAAACAAAAGAATAATGAATCACAAATAATGAACAGACTTGTTTGCATATGAATATCCTTTTTCACATATGAATGCGGAAACAGACATTAAAGCTTATGGGAACAAAAAAATTTGGTGTGAATATTCACAAGAGTAAAAATAAGCCACCTCAAAGCATATGTAAAATTAATGTGGGTGTACATTGCATTTAAATAATGCAATAATTTAGGATAATTAAATAAATGCATTTGGCCCAGTTTCATGCCATTTAAACAGCTACTGTTCAGTAAAGAAGCTGAGCATAAAAGGCGAGTCAGGCCAAAACCATGAGTGAATGCAACAGCTGTTTAGAATAAAGTGAGCATTTGCAAACACCATTTTGCAATTATTTAACCATCTCTAACAAATAAAAAGACAAAATCAAATACAAAAGCATGGGATAATCTAGACCTTGGTGCTATCTTAGAGCGCAAGTACATCAACTTAGGTTAACTGACAAGTGCAGTTTTACTGAAAAGGTTTGCCATTGACTGCACTGGTGGAAGAATTCAGTTTTAATGAGTGATTTAAAAGAACAGTAGGTTCCAATCATGTATGCCAAAGACGTAAGGGACTATGGGAACCAACTAATAATAAATGTTAGCACAATTTAAATATTATAAATCCTGCTCAATAATAACAGAGTTAACTTTCTATTGTAATGTAAATTTGTCTTTATATAGCGCTTTTTATCCCAAAAGCTAAAACAGCAGTTCACAAAGTGAACAAACTAATGCATACAATGCTGAGATCACTTTATTTCCTTTGGATCTGTAGCTATATCTGGGAGGAAATGGAGAAGCTGTACAACAAAATAATACGTGAGAACTTAGGACAAGAAGTTCGACATGCCTTGCAAATTGCAGGGTAGTTAGATTAGAAGGATGCAACTACCTCATCTGTTGTATTTGCTAAGATATTGGATTTGCTCACACTCTACTCTTCAAGTTCTCTAGAAGCCAGGAATACTTATGCCCTAGGTTTTACATCTAGTCCAATTACAGCACCTTAATAACATGCCATGGCACTGGATCAATACCATCCCAGAGGACATAGTGCCACCACATGAACAAGCAAATCATTTCTTGTGATGTAGAGGTGTTTGCTGTTCATCTACCAGCCTAATGATGCTTAGAGAAGGCACTCAACCAAAATGTTTGCTAATTCAAAATGTATTTTAACATCTACCCTTCCGCTTAACATTCTATTTTCAGTTTCTTTTTCCTTCTTTCTTTCTGACAGTTTCACTTGGCATGTCTCCCTTTGGAACTTGCGGAGCAGCACAAATCTCATATCTATAAAACCAAAATATTACAATACCCTCGAATATGTCAGAAGAGGTGATATAATGGACTCCAACCCTGAGTAGCTAGGAAAAGCTATGTTGACTAGGCAGAGACAGAGCAGAGGTCCTAAACATTCACTCTACCTCAAAAGCAGAAAGAGCTACGTCCAGCATTTAGTGTTGTGCTGCTAAGGATACTCATCAAAAGAACAACACTGATCAGCTAAGGAGAAACACTGTACTACTGAACAAATTGAGAAGGAATATGGACTCCATTACATACCAATTTAGCAACCGTGATATTTTAATTATAAAGTAAACTGAATAACAACTTTGCTGGCATATATTTAAAAGATATACATGAGGCATGATTTTGTAAAAGAAGCCTAAAGAGAATTATTTTCCCTTTTATTATAAAATTTCTCTTTTTACCACCACCTTGCTTTTTATGCCATTAGTAAGAGAGTTGGGTTTTCTCTTTTCCTGAGTTTGAAAACAAATTAGACCATTACAATTGTACCTAGGAGCCTCCTTTAGTTTTATGAATTGTTTCAAAGTGATCCTAAAAACTGGAAAAAGGATACAAAGAGATCCCTAAGCAGATAGGTAGTGAAATAAAAGGTAATAGTTTCATTGGAAACATCCAAATAAATTTGTGAGCAGGATTTTTTTTTTTTTTTTTTTTT